CGTAATCAAATCTCAGTTCATATTTTATCACCTCCCAATCTTTCTCCAAAAGCTTTGTTTTCATCAAGAACACAATTTGGGGTTTTTGAAGTCGGATAACCGAGTTCAGAGATGCAACTGCCTAGGGATTACCGAACCCCTGGCAGTTGAGGCTTAGGTGATTCATTGCGATAGGTGGCCCCACTGCTCGGTACGATCCGCCTCTGTTAATTTGGTGGTTTTGATTGCACTTCTTTTGATTCTCTTTCCATCCTTCCAACCTGCTTTCTCTTCTTCTATCTCTGTATCTATATCCATGTCTTCCTCGTTCCTTCTTTTTTCTCTTGTAAATTTTCTTCCACTACTTCCCTCCTGAGCTTTTTTTTCAGTCGGGTCCATGTTTTGAGCCCTGTCTTCTTTCTATTAGCTTCTCAAGTAATGATTTTTTGGGCCTCCGTAGTATTTTCCTGTATTTCCCCCGGTCCCTTAGGGCCTAATAAGATCAGGCCAGAAAACTATTGGTCAACTTGTTCCACTTCCTTGTTGTTCTCTTTACAGTTGCCTTCTTCCCCTCCATCTTTCAAAAATCCAATTGTTATATTTTTTTTTATATTTTTCTTGTTGATTTTCCTCTTTATCATTGCCTCGTTGCTCCCTGTTTGTCACTTTGACTTCCGTGTCATTTGCTTTTTGTTTCTCGGTTCCCGCCTTGATCAAATCGAAAAATCTTCTTCGAGGGGTCCTAGGCGAGATCTGAACCATCAGCTGGTCTAACACATGACTCTCAGTCCCGTCAACAATCTCTCTCCGGAATTTCCATTGGTTTCTTCGCTGGAATTTCTCTGTTTAGCTTCCGACCATAAAGATGCTAACCTTTCCGCTTCTGATATGTTTTTTGGTTTCATCGTTTTTACCGGTGAAGTGGCCCTCAGTCAGTTTCCATACTGCACTTCTTCATCTGGCAAGATTTCTTCCTTACAGTTCCTTTTCTAATGTCCATGAATACCACAATTGTAGTAGAAGTTGGGTAGCCTTTCATACACCACCTTATACTAGATATTCTCCTCTCCATTTGCCAATAACACTCCTCTTCTCAACGGCTTAGAGACATTGAATGAAACTCGCAATCTCATATAGTTGCTCCATGGCTCAGAACTGTCTGCATCAAATACTTTAAATGACCCTAACATTGCTCCAATCTTCTTTGCCATTCTCCCAGTTCTCATTTTTTGAGGCAACTTCCTAATCCTTACCCAGATGTCAGTTTCGCTAAAGTCCATCTCTCATGTTTCTTTGTCTCTTTCCACTAGCTTTAGTACTATGAGCTGATTGTCAAAGTGCCATGACCCTCCAAACAATGCCTTTTCCCGATCTACTTTGCTAAAAAATTAGAAGGGCATAGAGGCGCTCTCGATTGATTGAATCACAAAATTCCTTTTTGGCTTCCAAGCAGTAACAAGCGCTGTCTTCATAAACTTTGCTCCTAGTGATCTTATTCCTTGGAGTAAGCCCACAACTCCCAGTTCTTCAATGACTTCTTCAACTCTTGCGTCAACGTCATCATCTTCAACTTTTACTATACTTGCTTCTTCCTCAGAAAGATGAAAGTTTGTCAACATCTTTTCTAACTCAGAGGCCATAATGAAACCGATGGTAAGCCAAATTGGGCACAGAGTGGCGATCGGAATGAGATGGGGGTGAGAAGAAATGTAGAGATGAAAAGGAAAAGGGAGCGAGAAAAAGGAGGAGAGGAAAAGTCACAAGCACAAGCTTGGAGAAAAGTTGCCACAGAGTAGACATAGGAAGAGAGCTCTCAGGATGCGAGAGAGAAGGGTCATTTCTTCGTGACGAATTAATAAAATGTGTTGTTTTCTCGGATAAAATACATCGCGTGCCACTTAAATTTGAGGATTGGGATAGACATACCACTTAAGTTTGAATAGGGTGTTAGGTACCATTAAAGTTGTCAAAATGTGCATCCGTCTACTTTTCCATCCAACCGAAACTTTTAATTACTTTTTGATACCCAAAACTTTTAAAAATATCCAAAACTATATTTCAACAAGTTTTATCTAATATAATATTTAGAAAACCAACTAAACATATTAATACTAGAATTACTAATCAACATTTTTCAATAAAATAGATAAATTAGTAAAAATAGTAAACGAATATCAAGAAGAATAATAAATATGCTACAATATAATAATAAATATTAGAATATATATTAGAATATAAACCCTTTAATTCAATTAGAAGCAACATTAGAAAATAGTTAAAATAGTTTCACCAAAATAAAATAGTTAAAATAGAACCTAATTGATAATCAATACATCAGAATAAAAAAATGACAAATGGAACACAATCAGAAAGAATTAGACATATTTCACTAATTAAAAAATTTTACAACGAAAAGAGATAAAAATTAACCAAGTAATAAACAAAATATAAAAGCTACAAAATTCGGAAATTTTTTTTATAGAAAATAAAATGTGACTATAAAAGCTACAACATTCATGGAATAATTCAATTATTAGAACACATAATGATAAATGAAAATAATTATAATGATAATTAATTCTAAAATTTGTATTCAAAAATTGGTTTGGTATCAAGTATTCAAAAGAGGATTCTAACTAAACAATAAAAAAATATTTTTCATAAGTCCAAATGATTTTTTAACAATAAAAAAAATAGAAGCACAACATTATTTTAAGTGGTACCGGGTGCACATATAATAGAGTTTAGTAGTACTCGACGCCCTATTCAAACTTAAGTGGGTGTTTACCCCAATTCTCAAATTTAAGGGGTACCCGAGGTATTTTGCCCATGTTTTCTCCAAGTTGCGATAACTTGTAAGTCACCACCACAAAGTTTTTAAATTTTGTGCTATGCATCAGATAAAGGATTTGTAAATCTTGATAAATCTATTGTTAGATATTTAAATGAGTGATTGAAGTGATTATAAACTATTTGTTGACATTTACAAATTCAAGATTGAACCCTTTGCAATGATGATAATATATTGGAACACTATGCCCTGTTTCGGAAGGAGAGAAAAGGGAAGAAAGGAAAAGAAAGGGAGGAAAGCGCTACTTTTGAGGAGTTTTCCCCTGTTCTCCAAATCAGTAACAGTGTGGAGGGGAGGAAAAGCAAGGGATAGAATACTGTTTTACTAGCCCCTCCATTTTGGGTGGAAAACACTCATCTTCCTCCGCGTTCCTTTTTTTTTTCCTTTACAAGTTGTAGGATTGTTATAGGATATAATATTAGGTGGAATAAATGGTACAAAGTTTCTTTTTTATTGTTTTTTGTCAAACTAAAATTAACGTAGTGCATAAGAACTAAGATTAACAAGAGATAATTATTTAGGAAATTTTTTTTTAGCAAAGTTTGTGAAATTTTTTGGGTTATTTTTATTGGAAAAGTTAGTGAAATGATGTTTCATCGGGATGTTATCATGTCAATCACGATTGCAGTGTTGCTAAAATCAGTTGACATTATCGAGTGAGATGAGCGGCGACATCCGAGCTCCGCCGACCCAAACCCCACAAACTTGCTCTCTAATTGACGACCAAACGATTTCCCCAAACGATTGTGATATATCAGAACCCAACTCCGGCCGCCACCATGTTTCAATGGGTATCATATCATCGTAATACCGTTATTAACGCAACATAATAGAACATATTAAACTTGCACTATATTGGCGTAATACTGCAAAATTACTTTAATAGTGAACAAAATTAGCAAAAAAATAAAAAATTAATTCAAAATTCTTAAGCAATGAAAATAATATCAACATATAATCAAATTATTATACTATTATTACCCTAATAAAATAACTTATTCATCACAATTCCCAATACACATTTTCCTTCCCACTTTCCTCTATAAAACACAATTTTCCCTCCCATTTCCTTAATCTCCAAATTGTCCCTCCCCTCCTAATTCCCTTCTCCTCCCCTCCATTTTCCTCCCTTACTTCGGAAACAGAGTGTTAAAAATTAAAGGGGTCACTTTATGCAATCTCCGAAAGCCAGAGTACTGTTCCCCTTTTTCTTTCTTTCCAATTGTTTCAGGGCAGGACCATTTGATTTATTGAGGGCGGGTGAGGAGAGGAATCTATTGTTCATTCAGTGGCCGACAAACTAAAACCAGCCCTGCTTCAATGGCGGAGGGAGGGGGTTGGTAAACAAAAAAAAGATTCCTTCTTTTTCCATGGTATCATCAAATTAGGACTATTATGTGTCAACTATGGTAATTGACTCATGGTTCAACTTCAAACTTTTTTCAGGGGAAGCACAAAGCAAGAACCTTGGATTACCCACTAACTAGTTCCTTCTGAATAAAGGCAAAACCCATATGGTTCCAGAAATTGGGAGGGGGAAAAGTATAGGAATTTTGCAGAAAGAAGACTTCCCAAATTGATAAAAAGATAAAAACTGATATGGGCTTCTTATAATTAAACTTTGTTTCTCCTTCCCTCCCTCCCTCCATTGACTTGTTCAGAATAAGATCCTCAATCTCTGCCTTCTTTTTTTCGTTTCTTCTTTTATAGCTTCTATTGAAAGCCATAAACCCATATCATAAATTTCCATGCGGTTTGTTTCTTAATATCGTTTTCCAAGTTAATTAATATCGGGGATATTCGATAAAATCAAAACAATATAAAGAAAACTAACATGAACGGATGATACGCATAAATCGCGAGAAAGGTGATGTACATATACTAGAAAAGAGTGGTGACAAAGGGAGTTGAATTTTAGATTCCCATCCTGAAAATCTGCAGTCAATTGACAAATCTGGAGCTAGCTAGCTAAGACCAGTTGAGTTGAGAGCCTAAAACAAGGCAGTCAAGTCATCTTTACAACATAACCTGACATATCCTTTCTCAAACTCTTCCATCTACCCATGAATAATTTAACCATGGAAAAGAAAACAAGAACAAAGAAAAATAGAACCCACCAACGTTTCAAATTACCCAATTCAACACATCCAATTCACAAATCTCCACCAGCTGACATGAAACTTCTTTATTTCAATTCATATTCAAGCTCAGAACCTGGCAAAGCCAGGTTGGCTGTTGTTGCTTTAATCTACGATCCTGTTGCTGCCTTCTCCACTGTTCATTATTAATGTTATCAACATTGCTATTACTACTAATTCCGACAGGACTCTGCTTCTTCATCATCATCCCATTTTCAGGATCATCTACCCTGCTGCCTTTATTGCTCATCCTGTTAATCTGACTCGACTCAGTGGAGGATGAAGACAGGCTTCCACCTACTGATTCTGAAGTCAACGTTGCTTCTTCTCGACAGGGTTTCTTCCTCCTTGGACAAAAACTAGCTGGCCCCAATGTCAACTCAATCTCACACTCCTCCATGATAACTGTTCCATTCTTTTGTTTTTCGACATGATCCCCTCCGCGGCAACCATTGGACTCTGCAAATTCCTCTGCTTGCCTTTCCAAGTCCAGCTCCATTGCTAACTTATCACGATGACGCTGATTAGAAGGAGGAGCACTTATAATGTTGTTCCTGGAGTTGAAACTAAACCCATTAATCCTGGATGAAGTTTTCCAGAATTCCTGATGGTTGTTGGAAGGAATATGATGATTGTGAGGCATGGTCTTAATGGGTTTGCCAGAGCTTCTCATCATTAGTTTCTGGATCCTGTATAGCCTGTGGAGTTCATAAACCTGGAAGAAGAAAATCAAAACACAAAATATTATTAACTTTTGGATTCAAAAGGGTAAAAACATTGTTACAGATGTAGGAAACTCCATAACTTGGGATAGTGAAATTAAAATAAAGGGTTAATATTTTCGTATGGCCTGAACTTTGACCAAAATAAACATCCTGGCCAATTTTTTCGATCTATAACATCCTGTCCCGAACTATACACCAAAATAAACAATTTGGCCAAACCCGATGCTTGACCGTTAACTTGGACGGTCAAACGCGTTGACTAACGGTCAACGCGCCACGTCACTGCCAAATTAGAAGATTTGATAAATATTTAATTTTTCTTGTTTTTTATTTTTGGTTTAACTAAGGTATTAGATGATTTTTTTAATTTATAACAGTTTAAAATTAGGGAATGTGTGGAAATTGTGAATTATTTTAAATATTTTATGCTGACTTGGCAGTGACATGGCGCGTTGACTAACGGTCAACGCGTTTGACCGTCCAAGTTAACGGTCAAAAGTCGGATCTGGCCAAATTGTTTATTTTGGTGTATAGTTCGGGCCAGGATGTTATAAATCGAAAAGATTGGCCAGGATGTTTATTTTGGTCAAAGTTCAGGCCATACGAAAATATTAACCCTAAAATAAAAGGAGGAAGGGCCACCTGTTGTCTGAATGTTTCTTCATGCTTTAACATGCCTAGCCTCATGTATTCCTTGTCATAAGGCTTCAGAACTCTCTCCATTTTTGAGGCAGTGGAGAGAAGTGGCAACACAAAGGAAAGTGAAAAAAAAAAAAATCCTTCTCCTGTGGGGAATTTTTTGTTCTTGAGATTATTGCATGATCTTGATCCAGATGTGTTGGCAGGATGACACCCAACACACACAGCAACTACTTGTTCACTCTTCTGCAGGCACCTGAATAAAGGCCAAAGAGACACAATTAAGTTTTTCACTTCCTGTGGGGAGGAAAAAGAAGTATCTCCAGAAATGAAGAAAATATCAAGGCTGGCTCTCAAGTAGCAGTAGTACTGTGATTTTTTGTCTGTTTGCTAGACAAATTGCTTATGACTTATTCCTTTCAAATTCAGTTGGGCCACAGTCAGTCATCAAAACATAAATGAAAAGCAATCCCAAAAGAGGTTTTGTACTGATAGGTGGACTTTTGACCATGTGATAATTAGGACAGGAAATATCCCACACTAATGAAGAACTGCAACTTTGTCCAAGAAAGCTCTTTTCTTTTTCTTTCCCCTCCTTTACCTTGTCTCATCAGATGAAGAAACCACAAGGCTCCATAGACATGGGGATCAATTATCATTGGATCCAAGAAAATTGACAACCCATATGTTAGTTAATTAAGAAAAATGTTCCATCTTTGCTTTACAAGTGAACTCATCATCATGTAACACTTTGAATCTTAAACAAACACTAAAAAGTGACTATTGGGTATTGAGAGTGAGGCCTGAAGCTGATTAATATGTTTGAACTTGCTCACCTTGAACTGATTAATATGAAGGAGTTGGTATGAGAAGATGGGAGAGGGAGCTGCTGCTGTTGCTTGCCTCTGATGATACTGTAGAAGAAGGACAACCTCTGCAGGAAGGGGCAAAAGCCAACAGTTGGTTGGGGTTTTGTTGATCTTGCCCCAAGAGGAATACAAGAAGAAAGGAGGGAGGGAGAGGAGGAAAAATGTGAACTTTGTTTGCTATAGGAGGAGAAGACTTTGCCTTCACATTCTCCCATCAGTATATACTCCACTAGATTGCCATAAAATATGCAGAATTTGTTTTTCCTTCATTTCCCCCACTTTTTCCCTTTCTTTTGGTAGAGAATAATAAGGGTAAATTGCAAGGTTGGTCACTCAGATTAAAGATTCCAGCTGATCATGTCATGAAGAAGAATTAAAGATTCCTTTTGGTAATTAATTAGTAAACACACAGAAACCAAAGTGGGGAAAGCTGTGTCAGGCTGGCTAACCAAAGCAAAGCAACGCAGGATGTGGGTTTGGATCGAGTGGCATGCCAAACAAATCCCACTGCCTTTTGCCTCTCCCAGCAATGTGCCTTTTGTTCTTATTATTGCATGCTATGCTATTTTATGCATTTTCAAAGACAAAACACACAGTCATATTCCCTTGTTTTCTAAGGAACAATAATATGAATTCCTGCAGTTCTATCAGCATACATTGTCTGCAGTCATTGTTTAGGATCACAAGAGAAGGAAGAGAGTGCACAAATGGTATTATATTGTGGGAATATTTCGGTTGGGGCTTTACAACAATGATGAGAGGTGAACAGCTTAGCCATGAATCACATGCCATCCAAAGTGGGAAAATGAATATATTTATATGAATCATCATTTAGCAGACAGATTTATTTTCTTATTAGGATTATAATTTTGGTCTTTACTTTCCTACTGTACATGCATGGTGGGTTTTGGATTCATTCTTGAGATCGGCACAAATAATCTTTTATATATGCTCGCTTAAAACTAAAGATACCGTATTACTCCAAGATCATATGAGGCTTAACGAAAGAAGGGAATTTATAGAGTTATCAACCCTTGTAAATTTTGTAATCTATCTAGTGGATGTTTACGTGTAGGATTCAAGAGAAATGCCAATTTATCATTCAATACAAGCTTAAAGATTTAATGTTTACGTCTATCATTTCCGGTCAAACTTGCTGAACATTGGCTAATAACTCGAGTTGTTAGAAAAAAAATTCAACATAATAGATGCAGAGCACTTCTACTATGCTATATATCATTGGTGCTTTAATGTACAACTTGAAGTTGTACCATAACATTAAATGTATAAGTTTAGGTTGTACCATAAATGAAATTGTATCATTATGTTATGGTACAACTTTACAACTTCAAGTTGTACCATCACATAAGGTACAAGTTTAAGTTGTACCATAAAAGAATTTGTACAAAAAGTATAGGTACAATCTGAAATTGTACCATAACGTTAAAGGTACAATTTCAAGTTGTACCATAAAGGCAAAAACCTATAGCACCAATGCTATATAGCATTGTAAAATTCCTCAATAGATGCATACATTATATGCACTCTTGAATGTTATTTGTAACCCATCACCTCATTTTTATTTGCTTCTTCATGGCTACTTATCTCAAATCCATGTATACGATTGCAAGAAAACTAGAAATTATGTGATGTGTGCCTATAAATAGCGAATCTTCTTGTATTCACAAATAGATGAATAAGAAAGCTTTATTCGTCTCTCTTTTTGTGTGTCGCCTAGCACCTAGCTTGCATACATGATGAATAAAACAATAATTTACATAACTTTCAGATATCAGTTAAAATGATTAATAATTATCTAACAATTAACAACAAGAAAATTAGCTCAATAATTTATAGAAACATATAGCTCGGTAGCTCACCAAGTTCTTTAGCTATAAAAAGATATTCATATAGAAGATTTAGTTTGTAGATGATCTTAATCCCCCCTTTGATATTGAATGCTTAGATCCATCCAATTATATATACGAGACATCTAAGTGTCGTCTTACTCCATCGACATGGTCCCAATATTTAATTAACTGCGAAGTCCCTAGGCGATACGTCTTGACATTGCCTAGCACCTAGGCGTGTCTAAGTGTAAGTTTAAACGTGTCTTTTTCAATCATTACTTTTACATATATGTTCAAACAAAATTGATTTCATATATTTAAAATTTCTATAGGTCAAGTATCATACCTTATATTTAAATAAACAGTTAATAATAAAAATCGTAAATATAAAAAAATATCTCTCAACCATCTGAAACTCTAATAAGCATATTATATAGCAATTGATGTTTCGGAATGGTTGAACATCCCCTTACAAAAAAAAAAAATAATAATAATAATAAAAAAATACAAATCAAACTAATTAATCCTGATTTCCTAATTGTATATCCAACAGTTGAACTAAAGCTATAATTGAGTGGGCAGAATATCTGGTGGATTGGCAATCCACATCTAAATACTAGAAGCCTATTATTTAAGGTGGCAGATCGCGGCCCCCGCCCGACACGTTCATCTCAGTCGTACGTTTAGTAGCTCCCTACCCTTCCCTATAATAAGGTAATAACAATTCATCAAAAAATAAGTTAATAACACTCCAAATTATGGCTAATTGTGCCCATTCTTTTACGAAATATACACAAATTAAACAAGAGAAAATAATTTGAGAAAAAATAAAATAAAAATAAAACTGCTGTCCGCGAGATCTCAAATCTGATACAGAGAATAGAGCCACCTTCGTGAGTTCATATTGTTTTTCTTCTAATAATAATGTCCCAAATTCTTAAACATACTTATTAGTTAGATCATCTGACTCTATGTGCAGTACTGCAGGAATATTTAAGATCAACAACTCAGAGGTTTGATCTGTAGTGCTTGGGGGAAGACGTTCACCATTAAACAAATATATCTCATATTATTTCATTTCGAAATACTTTTATTATTTTTTTTTATTAATGCATAGTCCACATCAACATATAACCTATAGGTGTCAATCGAACGGGTTCGGGCTGGGTTCAATTGGGTTGCGGGTTAGTCGGATTTCGGTTTTATCGGGTTGCGGGTTCGGGTTCATCGGGTTGCGGGTTCAAACAGGTTGCGGGTTAGTCGGGTTGTGTGTTCATCGGGTTCGGGTTCAATCGGGTTGCAGGCAAATCGAATTACGGGTTCTTCGAGTTTTGGGTCGGGAGGGTTGCAGGCGGATCGGGTTACGGGTTATTCGGGTCAACGCATCGAGTAACTTACTCACTCGTTACCAACTTACACATTTTAATTTTTATTACACTAATTTAAAATATTGCTCTCAATTTTAACCAATTTTTTTCTATCTCGTATATATACTTGATTAAAAAAAAATAGTCAAAATGTTGAATCAATTTGTATGACTTGCAAACTTGTTATGTAATTAATTATAATTGGTAAAGTACACTAGCTAATAGTAATAGTGATATCAACATTTGCAACCAAAAGACATCATTAATTATTTATTTAATATTTTAGTATTATTTCAGTAGTAATTGGATTAAAGTATATCGTTTAGTATAACCATTCAAATATGGTATTTGGCGTGTGGTATTTGGCAAAAGCATAGTGGTAAAAGGAGTTATTTCGAAATAACTCAATTCCCAAATAACTTCAGTAAACTGTTGTCAAACGAGTTATTTGTAAAATTGTTGTAATTACCCTAAAATTGAACCATTAAAGATTAAATATCAAATTTAGTAAAATTGTTGTAACTTTAATCATAACTTACTCAATAATATATATCCTATATAATTAACATTGCCCTCAATCGACAATATTAAATTAGTATATGTTGTTGATCGTATATCCTAAACCATCAATACATTATACACTAACCACGTACCCTATACCCTAACCATATATCCTTATGAATTGTGATTTTGCTAGTATAGTTAATTTAAAGTGAAATTCATACTTTGATTTTTAAAACATAGATAAAAAGTGATATTTGCTAGACACTGACCATATATCTTATACTCTAAATCATATACCCTAATCACGTGCAATAAATGTAGAAGCATAGAAAAAAAGTAGACAAATTTAGTGAATTTTCCTAAAACAAATGATTGTTGTAACTTGTAACTAATTGATAACTTTATTGCATATTTAAACTAACTAAAATTTTAATTTATATATTATATTAATATTGTCCATGATCTCAATTATTAATTCTTCATTATTAATATTGACATTGTGTTGATTTTATATTTACTTTTTTTATTAAAGAACTTAGTGTTCAAGTGATCTTCATGTTGGGTTTGATAATTATTATTTCCTAATATTCTTTGGAAAATGACTTCTTCTCCCTAAATAGTACTTGTGAAAATAAAGAATCATAATAACCAAACAACCAAGCTTCACACGGCTTAACCCGACCTGACCCGGCCTACCCAATCAGTTTGTATTTCCGTCATCCCTCCCCTCTTTAGATCCGACATTGACCTCAATGTCAAAGGTCGGGTACCTCTGTGTGAGAGTGGCGGTCTCCTCCCATATCGCATCCTCCGGAGCTAATTACTTCCACAACACCAAGCACTCTTCTACTAACCTGCCTCACTTGCGTCTCCACTGCGTCTCCAGAACCTTCAGGGACGTCAACTCGAAGTCTCCATCGGCAGTGACGGGTTGGGTGATTGTCTCTGCCCGATCTGCAGGTTTCGCGATACCGCCTCAATAGCGACACATGAAATGTCGGATGAATACGGGAATCGGTCGGTAACTGTAGTCGATACGCCACCTCATTAGGTCCAAAGAAGTGGGCAACCAAATTTTGGTAAGCTCGCCTAAATACTGATGCCTGCTGGTAAAGGTGTAACCTGAGCAACACCCGATCGCCCACCTCAAATTCCTCCTCTCGCAGACCAGAGTATGCGATCTGCTTTATCCGGTTTGGCCACCGCCTAATTAGCCTCGAGTTTGATGAGCCCAAGGAAGTACTCGAATCAGAAGTGCACAGCCAAGGAGAAAGAGCTTTGATGTTGATAGTGTTTTCATAGCAAGAACAGGGTGATGGTTCGATATGAATGTAAGAGTTCCAAGCCAACAACTTCAACACGAGAGGGGAAGAGGCTAACATGGGGAAAACTATCAATCAACCAAGGTGACTACTTGGGAATATTGATATGCAATTCTTGGCCGAGAACCAAGAACAAAACCTAGCTCGCAAGCT